TGACTTATCAGCACACGTTATATTAGGTGCACGATAAACAAAATAAATCTGGGAGAGTTGGAGAGAGTGTGAGTGTGAAGGGAAACCCACACAACATGGGCCTGATTTCACATTCAGTATGCCAGTTTAACCCCACTGACTTCAGTAGAACTACTTCTGACTTACATCAGCGTAAGCAATATCTGATAAGGCCCACTACATCTAGTGCACTGCCTTGCAAAAATGTAAGAAATATATATAAATTGTAATCAAGCCTGATCAAATACAGTTATCTCACAGATTATGTAATGAGCTAAAAGAAGCCTGACTAAACATGTACTCCTTCCAAGTATTCGGTCTTGCAAGTGTTATTAAATAAACAACAAAATAACCATAGTTTTTAATAGCTGCCTGGGCCCACAGGTCATTCTGGGAACCATCTAGTGCTACAGTGAATAATGAAATTCTATTATTTACTAACATCAGATGAACTGATTCCTCTGTATGGAAGAGGAGCAAGTATTATATCTGCAGCAAATGCTAGCTGCATTGCTCTTCTGATAGAACCTTTGCTCCAAAATAATATTCTGTTGTATGATTAGGCCAGGAAGCTCCTACAATCCAAAAAACCTCCAAAAAACAAAAACCACAAAACCAACCAACCAACAAGAAAGAAAGAAAGAAAGAAAAAAAGGAGCTCAAAATGTAATAAGAAAATATCACATAATCTCAGTTATTAACAAAAAGAAATAATCCAACTGCCTTTTGTACATTTTCCACCAGTAATTAGTTACTTGTTGAATATCATTTATGTCAAAAGTCGCTTCTATTAGTCTGATTTCTGTCCTGCTTATGCCAGTACAAAGGTATTATGCGTCCACATTCACAGGATATAATGAAGCCAAGTTTCCTTATTCAATGACTGCACCAAAAATATATTTGAAATGTTAATTCTTCAGAGTAAGGATGTACTGCATTGACCCTAAACTTTGAAAGAAAGTGTTCTAAAAAAAAATAAAAATCAAATGTATGTTTCTAAGACATGGATGAAGTTTCTTTTCAAACTACTTTCTATTGACCCTTAACCGTGAATACGTCAGAGTTTCCTAAACTAGAACTCAAAACAGACACGACAAATTTTTGACAGAAACCTGGTTTTTCATTTATTCTCTTAAATATTCCTTCATTTCACATTATTGCAAGTGTTGTTAAAGTAGCAGCGATGCCAAACTTGTCTGATTCCCGAAATTGTAACTGAGCTAACAAACCTGAATTCACTGCATCCAAAAAAAAAAAAAAAAGAGGAATGGGGAATTTGTTTGTTTTGTTTTTTGCAATTTTGAGGCATATCACGAAAAAATGTTTCGCACCTATCTCAAATGTATCCACTATAAATTTAAGAACTTCTCAAATGCATAAAGCATTCCTTTAATTCACTTCTTTAGGGTTAGTTTTATACTAATATTGCAACAGCATTCTAAATCCTGTAACACTATTACAAAACATACCCTCCAGGCAATGTAGTCAAAACTTATTGTCCAAGCATGTAAAACAGTCATAACCTAAAACATTTACTACTGAAAGGAGGGAAAAGGCTCCTAACAGGGTTTCTAATAACCTACTGCTTTTTCTAGAGAACCAACATTTTAAAAAAATATATATACAAAAAAACCTTAATTATTTACTTAGTTAACTTAAGTTACTAGCCAGGAAAACCAAATGAAAGATTATCTAAATGCCATTATTTTAGGTGAAATCCAACTATTTTAAGTACATCATTTAGCAACAGGCAAGAAAGCTTCTCAGTTAACATTCCTTTCTCACACCCCCAGTGTCTTGCATCTGAAAACATGTGCAAAAATCAGATCAAAAGACTAAAAATAGGAAAGAAAAAAAGGGGTGAGAGTGTAGGCAAGATTTTATTAAGATACTTGAAGGTGCTTTTATCAGTGTCCTTTAGCAACAAAATTTTTAAAAATAAAGACTTTGTCAAGAGATGCGATTAAACAAATTGAAGATGTGAAAAATAGCCCTTTGATTCTCCAGCAAGATAAGTTAACTTCCATCTATGCTTTCCCTCTTTGCTTACTTTGTAAAGTTCAGAGCTCTTTTTAGGGCACTGGTGAAAGGATAAATAAAACCTAACCTTTCCCCAACTCACGCTTGAAATTTCAAAGCTGAAGGAAAAAAAACATTTCAAGATAAAATAAGTGTCTTCAAGTGAAATTAAATTCATTGAATTGAACCCGGTGGCAAAATAGCAATGCATCCAAACACATGAAAATTCACCTCACCACCCCAAAAAGGTACAAATAAAAATAAAAAAACCAAAACGTTTCCTTCCAGAAATCAAAATACTTCACAGAAACTTTTAAACAGTTACAAGAAATGGGTGCTATTTATTTATTATGATAATGATGATGCAAAGAAAGGTGTCTCAATATTTAAAAAAAACAACAACTGAATGATAACAAAGCTACCATAACATCCTTCCAGCTTTCCCAGGGAGACCCGATTTACTCTGCAGATCTTGGTATCTTAGGTTACATTTGTTCCCAAACTCCTCATCAGCCCCCGTGCAACTTGGGGGGAGGGAAAGGAAAGGGGGAGCTGATAAATGGAAAATGAATTAGGACAGTTCAGAGATCACAGCTCCCATGTCCCCAAACCTACCTCAGTGGCGACCCTGATATGCATGGTGCTGAAAAGGGGGGTGGGGGGTGGAAGAGGGTTGTTTCCTGGCTGCTGCTTTAATGACTAATGCAGGGGGTTAATGGGGCTGAGGGAGAGCAGCTCCGGGCTCCTCTCCATGACTCACATCGCACACTGGCACCAGCTTCTGGCCAAGTCCCTCCGCAGCCAGCGCGGTGTTCGCTTTAGGAGCGTGGAGGGTTTGAAAAGAGGGACGAGTTAGAGCTTTTCTCGGAGAAGAAAAGGAACCCAGCACACCGAGCGGCTCTGAAAGTTAGCTGGGGAAGCCAAAGGTGCTGCCTAGCCTCGGGGCTGATGAGTGCCATCGTGCCCAGCCCCAGCCAGGGAAAGGAAGGAAAAGGAAACGAGTTATTTATTCAGGGCCAACTCTCTTCATCCCCATCCGATTTGCCCTGAACACCGCATTACCCCCCAGGGCCAGGACAGAGGGAATCGCTCGGGAGATGACCCCTCCAGCTTCTTCTTCTTAAAAAGAAAAGAAAAGAAAAGAAGAGATTTTGGCTGAGATCTCAGCCACACTCTCCTACCCACCCAAAACTGCCACAATTTCCAGTCTCAGGAAGTGCCCTGCAGAAATGAAAGACGAGGACCTCCCCCCCCCCCCCTATATTATCCATATCTACAGCCAGCCTCTTGAACGGACACCCGGTAACCGTTTTCATGTAACTTCCTGAATGGCCTGTTTATCCCCCGCCGCCCTCCCATTTCAAAATCGGCCCCCAGGTGCGAGTCCCGCTGGTGCGGGAGCAGAACTGCCCGGCCGGGGAGAAGATCCACAGGGAGCCAAACGGGGGGCAGGATCCCCCCTCCCGGGCTCTCCGGCTGCTCAGCCTTCTCGGGCTCCCTCGCGGCTGGGTCTGAAGTGACCGCATCCGCCGAGGTGCGCTGGGCTGGGGCCGGGCAGGGGAGCGGGCCTGCCTTTGGGACACAGGACGCGGAGACCCACTGCCACCTTCACCCCCTGGCCCTCGAGCCTCATTGATCAGCCAGGCGCGTCCCAATCGCCCACTTTCTTACTTGGATTGTCCCCTGACCACTTGCCCCTGTCCCCCCACCCACTCTGCCGGTTTATAAAGTGCAAGCAGACACAGGTACAAGCACCCCCCCCCCCTTCAATAAAACCGCCTTTCCCTGCACCAACGCAGGGCTTCTGGACCGCCTTTAAAACAAAAAAATCACAGGCTCTCCAAAGCCAGCTACAGAGCAAGTCACCCGGGTTCCTCCTTTACCGGCCCCAAAGGAAGAAAGGAAACAAACAGCCACCCCACAACTAAAGGCCAGCCGCAAAGCCGCCCTCGCTGGAGCCGCTGCGAGCCCGGATCCCGCAGATGCCAGGCGGCCAGAGCGAAGAGCGAGAAAAGTTACCAGGGGCAGGGAGGGAGCCAGCCAGCGCGTCAGTGCGGCGAGAAAGACTTTTATCTCCAGCACGCAAACTTTCTCCCCCCTTTAAAAGTGGGGTTTCAAATGCTCCGGAGGCGAGGGCTGCCTGGCAGCGCAGGTTTCCCAGCCATAGCGGGACTCCGGGGGAAAGGGGGCAGGCAGAAAAAAAAAAGTAGGAAAGGGGCTTTTCCCTTTTTTATGGGGGGTGGGCGCAGAGAATAAGTGCGGTCAGGTCGGTGCATCCTTAGAAAACCCAAACCCAAACCTGACTTTTGTCCCGCTCCTCACTAGCCTCTGGGGTGTGGACTACAGAGGGGGTGTGGGGGAGAAATCCATCTCTTCTGGGGTCAGACTGCCAGATCATCAAAAAAAAGGGGGGGGGGAGAGAGACACACAAATGCAACAAACACAGGAAACAGAAGGTTAATAAAATAATACAAACCCATCCTCAACAAGGGCAAAAATAGTAATATTTAAAAAAAAAAACCACAACCAAAAAACTCCGGCAGCTCCAGCGCTCTCTTCCCTTTCCCGGTGCAGTTTCCTAGCTGTCTCTAAGGTAAGTTGATCTATTTTGCGGGTGCGTGTTTGTGTTAAAATGTGTGCGAGAGAGAGATGGGAAGAACTCACCATTTCGCTGGGATAATAAGGCCAGCTCGGGGTCGGACTGGAAATGCTGAGGCTTCGCCTGCTTCCTCCGCGACATGCTGGCTCAAACATCAGCTGGGGCAGAATAAAAAATTACTAAAAAAAAATCTTCTCAAAATTACGGAAATCGAGCCTCCCCCCTCCCCAAGCCACGCCGCACCGCGCATGTGTCCTGCTATAATTATGATTATCAATAATGCATTGCGATTAATCATAGAGGGGCTCTTTGAAAGGCGATTGGCACATGGCCAGCTCTATTCAAACCCGCTCGCCTTAATCAATTAGGCGCTGATTTGCTGGAGACCCTTGTCTCTCTGCCGCTCCCACCCAATGAGTCGATCCATGTGGCAAGAGAGGGGGCTGGATTTCCCCAAAGCTGTTTGGATACAGTTTAACCCTCTTAGCAACCAGCTGGGACTGTTTCACGCCATCCCTGTTACTATAGGAATGTGTCGAAAGCCTCTGCCCGCCCCCCGCTCGCTGCTGTCCCAAGCTCCTGGGTTGTTGTTGGGTTTCTGTTTTTTCTTGTTACAAAAGGGGGCCAAGAGGAAAATGAAATAATGTCTTCTCCGAGCGCACCGGGAGCGGGGAATAATCAGGACGGGTTCCCCAAAGAAGCAAATGCAGAGAGAGAAAAAGGACCCCCGGGAGCGGATCGCCCAGCTGCGGGGAAACGCTCTGTCTCTGCCCGTGCAGCGGGGACACTGGGGCCGGGTGGGGGGGACACTCAGGCCGGGCTTTTCCCGACTACCTTGCCCCGAGCTCAGTCTGTGCCACCGCCTCTGCCTGGGACCGTCCCATCCCGCTCCGCCGGGGCCGCGGCCAAGTTGTGTGTCTTGTTTTAACCTCTGCACCCATCCCAGATGCACCGTCCAGCCTCTCCCCGGCCCCGGGCGGGGGGTGCCGACAGGGGGCCGGGGGGGCCGGGCTGGTTCAGCGGCCGACGGGCTGATCGCAACCTCACACGTTTCCCAGGACAATTACAGCAAAGTTTGTGCCCGGCTACGTCACAAGCCCGGCCGGGGAGGGGGAGGCGGCTCCGCCCCTGGCGGCGGCGCCGCCGGTTGGCTGAGGCCGGCGTCAATCTGCGGAAGAAGGCGGCCGGAGAAGGCTGGCGGCGGAAACCCGCCGACTCATCTGCCCGGTGGAGGCCGGGGCACGGGGGGCGGAGTCCGGAGGGGACCGGGCAGCTTTACGCGTTCCCAGGCTGGGGCACGGCTGCTCCCCTCTGCACAGGGTTGTCGGAGGGAGGGGGTGTGAATTCGGAGTGACACCCCCCCGCGCCCCCTAGCCCAAAGCGAGATCAACTCCCGACTTTCGTTTTCTGCTCGAGAGTCCGAGGCTGAGCCGCGCCGGGCTTCCAGCCCCAGCTCCCGGGCAGCCGCCTGCAGCGTGAGCTCGCGGGACACGGGCAGGCGAGCCCCGGGGTTAGGAGCAGCCATGCCAAGCGCCCCCTCTGCTCCACACAGCCCGCTCAGCCTCCCCGCCTGAGCCCCGGGAGGTCGGTGCCTCGTCTGTTTCGGTGTGTGGCCAGACACGTACAGCCAGCGAGATGGGCTCTGGGCTGGGAAACTTCTTCTAACTCCGGATACGTACTTTTAACTCCGGGAGTCAGAATTGAGTTTATGACAGAGCAGCTCTTCTTGAGGGTCAACACGGTTAAGAATGGACCCCCCCACCCCCCCGTGTATGGACATATAGGTGTCTCTCTGCCTCTTTATATGCACGTGTACAGTCGCGCGCACACACTCGTACGTGTAACAATAGATTAACCACATACGTGGTGTCTGCTAGACGTGTAGCAATTGAATACATCCTGCCCGAACCGCTCAAATGGCGCTCGGGCAGCACGAATACATCGTCAACCAATTTCATAATCGCGGAATAAAAAGTTCCGTTCCAAAGTTAGGAAGGTTCGATCCAGCCCCAGGATTGATACGTTGCACCCACAGAAATGCACGTACAGTACAACACGGACAGATTATGTTTGGTTTAGAAGTAGCTAAGCTATGGAGCCCTTTGTATTCCTCGTTCCTCTGCACGTCAAATTCCTCCGTACTGTATGCGAAAAGTTGATGTGCAGGGTTATCTCGGTCTGAAGACGAGCAAGCGTGCAGCTGCTGTAGTCAGTTTCTGTTTCTGGGCCATTCACAGCACCCTCCTCCCACCCTCCCCTCTGGATTATTTACTCTGTGATTGAAACTACTCCTTTCCCCCGGTATCAATATTAACAAACTCTGTAAAAGCAAGAGGCTGATCAGATACAACTCATTTCAATTTCAAATGAGCCGGTGAAACCTAGAGAGTGAGAATCTCTCTCTCCAGTCGAGGAACCGACTCACTCGGATTTTCTTCTCCCTATTATTAAACGAACTAGACTTTAAAATGTTTATCAAGGTGGGTGACAAAACATCAGTAACCCCCTCTACTCCCCCCCAAGTGCCAGCCAAATATTTAGTCAGCTTTAGCAAACCGGACACTGAATGTGCTTTTTTTTTCTGTATAGGGTGGTTCCCCCCCCCCTTCCCTCTCCCCGCAGTATTTGGTACAGTAGATTTTGATAAAAAGACAAACGGAGCTGTCAGTCGGGATGATGTTGAAGAATGAAGATAATAATGTTGCTATAGGTGGTATTTCAGATGCCATTATTTTTCACTGAATATTTAAAGAGATCTTTCGGCAGAGATGGATATATTCAGTGGTAGGTGTCAGCCTCCTTACCCTCACACACTGGGAAATATACCGAATATATACTTACATGATATATGTATACATCCTGATACACGTATATAACACCCACATAACCCCTATTCACAAGACTGTCTGCAGTTAGAATTATATCAATCACTCGATTAGCTCCCCACGTCTTTAAATCTAGTTACTGTCTGAAAATGATTCGCATTTACAATTTCATTATATATTTGTTGATTAAATTGGGTTGCTTTAAATCACTTTCCCATAGCGCTATGCATTTGGTGCCTGTACGTGCCCGTTGTGAGCCTGCAATTAAAAAATAACAACAACGGTTTGGAGAAAGACTAATTTGGAGAGATAAAGTTTAATAACTTTTTTTTTTCGTTTCTCTGCTCCCTCGTCATTGTAAAAACAGACGCTTAGTGTTTAATTTAGGGTCATTTGATCATTTGTTGTTTGTTTTCTTCCCCTTTGCTGGGGGCCGAAGATGGGGGGGCACAGTGGTGTTTGCAGGGAGAGAAGAATTGGTCTTTATTGTTGTTGATAGCAATACATCAATTAAATGTCATTGCCGCGAACAGAAGTTGTGAGGGTTCACAAAATACTGTGATTTTGTTTTTGCTGGTTTCCCCCCTCTTGAAGGTCCAGATGACAGTGACAGAACCCCCCTCTCCCCCGGCACCCACAGATCTTGGAGATCTTTCTTAGGTTATTTTTTTTTAAAATTGGGGTGGTGGGACCCATCATGTTTTTCAATGCAAATCAGCCCTTGGTTGGAAAACAACCGTGCTGGGGATCGATTTCCAGTTCATTGAGATGAGCACTGAAGGGAGATTGTAAACAGGGGATAATTTGCAGTTCATTCGGGTGAGAGACGATTTCAATGAGATGCAGCACACTAGACTGGATTATTGTTATTAAGGTTTGCAATCAGACATAACAACCTTAGCACTCAGGGGTTAAAAGCTACACAATACCCATATACTTATAATGCATCGTTAATAACGATCTGGAAGAAAATCCAATTGATTTCATATTTTCTGCAAATTTGCACCACCGGTGCAGCTTGTAAAGCGGAATTTACTTAGATACAGATCGGTCTCTTCGCAGAGCTAACCCCGAACAATCAACCTTTAACCTGTGGAAACATTGTCTCTGCCCTAAAAATTAAAACACTTTAAGGGAAACACCGTCACCGGGTAATTCATTCATTCATGTTTTCAGATGGCAAAAATACCTGCTTTTACTTAGCAAGGCTTGTTTTCTGTTTATTGAGAAAAGAGACCGTGCAAACCAGATTTTAAATATTGCTGCATGTGCCCCCTAAACTGCTAATAGCAAGCCGTCCCACAGCTAACACTGCTCACATGTATTTTAGAAATGTGGGTAATTAGGGGCTTCCAGATGCTGCTGTCAGATGGGAACTTGGCTTTGTGCTCCGATATATAATAAACTTTTGAGACAGTCCTGGGGCGCAGCTATCCAGGAGCAGCTAGGAACTGCTATCTGGAATTGTTTTATTATCAATAGCCTGGAATCCCGCTATTCAATACGCGCATTTCAACCCTTGTGACTGTGTGGGTTTAGGTAGGACTACTTTTGTGGACAATGCTGTCAACAACCTTTCCCCCTCCCCGCCCCCCCCCTCTTTTTTGATTTATTTTCTAATGATCATTCCTTAAGAAAAAGAAAAAGGGCCAGAATGGAATCCTTCTCCATTATTACTGACAACTAATAATTGATCATTGCTCACAAGCGCGAGCTTTTAGCCAGATAATTGAATCGTAAGCAATACGGGTTGAGCTAAAGGCAAGAGAGAGAGAGAGAGAGAAAAAAACCAACCCAAACCAAAACAAATATAAGAGCACCAAAGTGAAGGGTTTTTTTTATTTATTTGTTTATTTTTGCGAAGATAAGAGACGAAAATGACTAATGCCGCATAACCAGCCAAGGTGGAATTATTTAATTCAATTCTTTCTTTGCACATTTGCTGCCTTTTGTTTGACCCGGTGGCCAGCAAAATTTTACACCTAGCCATCCCTTTTGAGCTTATTGATGAAGGTGCTTCTGAAATGATTATCAAGAGATTTACAGCTATCACTCCCCACCTACGGGAAAAGTAATAAAATCAATCCCTCAATCAATCAGATCCTTCCTACCCCCCCATATCTTTTTAATCTATTCTTTTAGCTGTTTTATTACAATGCAATCATTAAA